ATTCATTAATAATTAACATTAATATACTTTTTAATGTGTAATTTACATGAAGCAATGCATTAATAATAATAATAATAATTTTACTGTTAAATTTATATATATAGAACTTATTGATAATTAAGTAACTTCATAAGTAATATAAATTATATATATATATAGAATTTATGTATATTAATTATAAATCACACAATAATATTATGCAAAATTTACAATATATAATGTTTCATTCATATATTATTTTACAATATTGTATAGAATTTATGTATATCAATATATTTACATTATGTAATGTATTAATATATTTTTTACAATACTAAATATATATAGAATTTATGTACATACGTTATATGTAATTTAAATTATTATACTTAATTATTTAATAATAATAAAATATTGAATTAATTTAATTAGATCTATTGTTTAAATTACAAATTACACATTATTCAAATTAAACTACAAAGCATTACATTATAATAACGCATTATTAAAAATGCAAACATATATTTTATAATATGTATATAAATTATGCAGTATTATATAAACAAAAATATTTAATAAATGTATCTATTTATATCGTAAGCATAATTATTTTTAAATACACATTGTTTACAAGACAAATGCATGAAAATAATGTTAAAATCTTATAACATTTGTTATCAGCTAATAACAGGCGTGTGATGAAGTGAAGCGAAGCGCTGAATGTTTGAGGCTGAAGCAGTTAATAATCACAGATGTGTGAGAGCTGGATTACCGGAGACTGCCAGAGAGCCGATCCGCCCACAGCAGCCAGCAGATACAGCAGAATTATGAAGATCTGCACTTCTGTCACATCAATGCTGATCAGAGCAGAGGAGAGATGCGCGTTAGACACAACACTCACTCACTCACTCACAAACACACACACACTCACACACACACACACACACACACACACACCCCCCCCCCACACACAGACACACTCACTCACTCACTCACACACTCACACACACACTCACACTCACTCACTCACTCACACTCATTCACTCACTCACTCACTCACACACAGTGGTAAATGCGGCCGCACCTTTCTATTCAAATGAAGCACTGAATGGATTTGATTAGAGTTGTTGGATACTCACATGCCGAAGCGCAGCGTGCCGGAGACGTAGGTCTGCCAGTGAGCGCAGTAAAACATGAACATGCCGGAGAAACAGCAGAAGAACATCCAGTCGGGGTGAGAGCCCAGCTGCACCGCAATACTAATGCCCAGCACCACAAACACTGCAGCACACACAACACAGAGCTGAGAATCACAAACAAGTGTGCTTACATACCAGTCTAGTGACGTGCATTACTATCATCACCAACATACATTCCTTTAAAAGATTGCATTATTTGTATCATGTATTATAAATGCAAATGCATATTTAAAATGTGCATACAGTATCTAATTTACATGATGCAATTATTAGTATATTATTTAAATGAAAAATGACTATTAATTTCATCATTTTAAACATAATTACATTAGCAAGTATTAGTAAATAAATGGGAAATAAAATATAATTATAACTTATGCACATTATGTAGAATTTTGACATTAATAATAAATTATATATAGACTTTATAAATACAGTTTTTAAATGTATAAATTACGTTATGTAATGTACTATTAATTATGTATTATAATTATTCAATAAATGCTAAATAAATTATTTCAGTTATTTATGCATATTATATAGAAGTTATTACATTATTATTTATGCATTATTAATAAATTCTACACAAACTTTTAATATATATAATTTATATATTAAACAGCACACATGTATATTTACATTACACATGTATACATTACATTTACATTATGTGATTTATTATTAACACATTATTTTATAATATTAACTACATAGAGATTTTATGGACATGTATTATAATTTATATGTAGTTTATTAATAATATACATTTATGTACATCATATATAATTTAGGCAATTAAACAATAATAATAATCAATAATAAATTGTAGATTAATATACTTTTTATTGTATCAATTATATTATACAATGTATTTTTTATATATTCTTTAATAATATTAAATATATAATTTATTTACATGCATTATATTTTACATTATGTAATATTAAAGACATTTAAAATGTACATATATAATTTGCATAAATGCAATTTATTATTGGACTATTATATGACAAATGCAACTATATATTTTATATGTATATATAGCATTTCATATGTTTCTATAAATATACATTATAAATAACATAATATGCATTAAATTTATATTATTATTTTTGATATACCACAATATTTAAAAGGCAAAGGTTTGAAAATAATATAAGATTGTGTTCGCAAAAAAATGTCTTAACGGCAGCTAATTTGCTTATTAGACTCTGATCAACTTAAAAATGCGTAACAACATCTCAACGTGAAAAATAACACATAAAACATACTGCGCAATAGCGGATCCCGTGTGACGCTCACCTGTAGAGAGCGAATCGCAGCCGTGGTCGAACAGCTCCCCCAGTGGTGAACTGCTGTTAGTGCGTCGCGCCTGTTTCCCATCGATAGCGTCCAGCGACTGATAGACGAACAGACCCACCGCACACAGGAGATACGCCCAGAGAGGAGCCTGAACACACGCCAATAAATGAGTTTATCTTACGAACATACCTTTTTCACGACAGCACGATTGCGCGGATCTAGACATGTGCCGGTATTGCGATATATCACGATAATGAACATGCACTATATTGTTATCGTGGGCACTTCGAAACACCGAGAATAATTATTTATTACAAATGATTTTGAATGCATTTTAATAATACGTTTCCCACAAGACCGCTGTATGCCGCGTCAAATCTCATCTGATGTAAACAAGCACGGATGAGACTGCTCTGAATTAAAGCGCACTTTCACTCTCTGACAGCAGGTGGCGCTAAACAGCAGAAATGCATCCGTTACCCCGGAAACCCTGGAAACAAAGCAGCTGCGCTACTTTCTGTTTCTGAAATGCATTTAAATTATTTAAACAGCCATTCAACGCCAAACACTTGAATATTTAGACTAATAGGCCATTTATTTTCAAACTTTTTAACATTTTATTCTGGACTGCAACATGCGCTAGATATTGTTTGCAAGTGTTTTGATTCGTTATAGTTCGGTAACACTTTACATTAGTTGACATTAGTTAATTCATTAGTTAACATAAACTGCCAATGAAAAATCCTTGTAAACATTCATTAATCTTAGGTAATTACAATATTTAATAACACGTTGTTAAAATCAAAAGTTGCAACTGTGTTATTTAATGAGCTAACGTGAACTAAGACTTTTATTTTTTAACGAAGATTAATAGCTTCTGTAGCAAATGTAGCTATTGCTCATTGTGAATGTTAATGCATTAACTAAGGTTAACTAATGAGGTCTTATTGTAAAGTGATACCTATTGGTCTTGATAATTATTGTGCACTTTAATTTGTGTAAAATATTTAACTTTATACAATTTTTGTGCGTTGCTTTATTGTATTTAAATGTTCAGTTATTTTTGTTATTAAGAAAAAGTTACTAAACTTGTATTATAAATACTGTATTATGACAACACTTTTTTGCAACTAAATTTAAATATCGTGATAAGACCGTACACCGTGATAAAAGCATTAGCAATTAATCGCAACGTGAAAATTTGATACCGGCATATCCCTGCGTGGTACCTGTTCGGTGGCGGTCGGGCAGTAATACACCAGCACTAGCGTGGTGAAGATGTTCGTCGCCAAACCGACGATGGTGATGAGGTTGGGCGCGATCCAGGGCGGCATCCTGCGCACCAGCCACTCCCAGTAGCGCTGCATGACGGGTTCGAGCAGCGAGCGTCCCGAGCTGCTGTAGCGATGCTCCTCCAGACGCTTCAGCTGGTGGCGTGACAGGATCGGCGCCGGCAGCTCGAACATACGTCGCAATGCGCCGGGCGCGAACCAGCACGACGAATCCACGCCCCGCTCGCGGACCACAGCCACGCCCCCCCGCCACCCACTCATCACTCCCAGCCAATCACAGCCCGAGTCTGAGCCTGACTCCGCCCACTGCGCGCCCGCAGAGCCACAGCAGGATGGCTGGACACCTGCGAACAGGTCAAAGTTAATAAATAATGAAAGAAAAAAATGGGTGAGGAATGTCATAAAATGCTAATCATTTTACCTGTTCACCAATCGCGAGTTAGAAGACGCCTACAGGCCACGCCCCCAAACAAAAGCACCTCGAGCTTACGTCACGACGGCCGATCGCGCCGCACTTCCTGGTTCCTCACCACCGCTGCGACAAAACATTAGTAGATTATCATTAAACATTCAGGACAATATTCTAAACACTTACAGTACATTAAATTAAATAACAAAAATTACCAGTGCAAGTTACTTATGAATAAGAATCGGAGACAAATCAATAACAAACAGTAAACCATCAGATTTCACTCGTTTACAGTAACATAAACAACACGTAAATACCATAGTATTCTTCGAAGCGTCTTATAAATACTTTGGTATTTGGTTATTTTTATCAGTCTGTATTATGATATTACGGTTTGATTCATCAGTGTACTTTTTAAAGAGATGTCATGCTACTGAAACCTGAATAATAACGATGTATATTGATATGAATATATTAGTTATAATGATTATTATGTAACAGTAAGTGTTTGAGCTGTCAGTTTCAGTGGTTTAACGGGTTTAACGGGTCAGGTGTCTGTCACCGGTGGTCTGTCGGGGGTCTCAGGGCCGGTGTAAACGGTCGAGGGTTCGAATCCCGATCCGGTTCGCGGTTTATTCGATCGTTTAACCTTCCAGTCGCGTAACGTTAACTCACCCGCCAACTGCAGACAAGCTCCAGATTCGGAGAAGATGCGCGATCTGTCCGCTGAGATCCTGAACGTTTCGGCTCCGGTGTCGGTCCCGGTACGGTTTAGCGCGAGCTGCTAGTAGCGCGACGCCGCCGGTCGGTCACTTCCGGCGCAGCTCAACGCGGACGCGTCAAGAGCGTCGTAGATGCGAGGAACTGCGCACACAGGCGCAGAAGTGACTCAAGAGCGTCGTAGATGCGCTGCGCAAATAAATAAATAAATCGTTTTTTAAAAATTGAATAAACTACTTTTACTTTTTGATTCAACGCAGTTTTGCATTTCAGTTAATCGTTATGTTTTTTGTATAATTGTAATGACTTTTAATTACAAAAAAACAAATAGATAGATATAATAAACACTTACTACTTATATTTACTAAATGTTTTTTAAATAAAATTGCATTTATTCTACATAGTAGCGATTTTAAGATGTTCGACATGCCTAAAAGTCTCTAAATATATATATATATATTATTATTAAACAATAGCGAAAAAAGAATTGTGTGGAAATATCTCGTCTCTCTCTTTAGGGGCGGAGCGTCTCTTTCACTTCATCTCTCATGTGTTTCTGCTGGAGTCGTCATCGCATCAGTCTGACAAACGCAGAAGTTGCACGTAACGACTCATTGTTGCGGGATAAAGTAACGCGTCAAGCACGCACGCGTTCCTCCGTTTTTCGCTCGGCGCGTCTAGAAAAAAAAAAAAAAAAACTTGGAAAATTCTCCCGTTTTTTTTTTTCTTTTTCTTTCTTTTTTGGGAGTCGCTTCATGTCTGCGGGCCAAGAGCGAACGTGTCGAGGGAAGCATCGTCCTTCAGGAGCCAAAGAGAGGCTCTGAGGAACTTTAGCTCAGGTTGGTGCAGCTTTTCGGTGTTTTATTTCGTTTCAAACGTTGAGTTTGGCGTGTTTGGTGGAACGCTCGCCTCTGACGTCACGCGTGTGGCCCCGCCCCCACCATCCAACGTTCCATAATTACATGTTCTGAACTTCGGTAAGTGTATCATTATAAAACATACACGTTTCATATTTTACTCTATTTATCCGAAATATTGTATGTGATAGAAGCTGTTTGGATTGTACAGAGCTACCGTTTTTGTTTTAAAACTGAAGTCTAATTTTATACACTCATTTTTGTAATTGAAGTTTATATATATATATATATATATATATATATATATATATGTGAGTGTGTGTGTGAGTGTG